CCTTCAGAGCAAACCAGCCAACCCCCACCCGTGCACCAGGCCTCTATCCTATATAGTAAAAGGGTAATATGCAAACTGACCCTAACAGCAGAAAGACTGGGAATGACTGGTCACTATGACACACACTGACCACCAGGGTCAGACGCTCAATGCAGGAGCTGCCTCTGGTGGTCAGTCGCTCTCACAGCAGGGAGCTCTGCTCAGCCAGAAGCCTGGCTGATGGCTGCCAGTACAGTGGTGGTGGTGGGAGCCTCTCCTGCCTCCTCAGCAGCGCTAAGGATGTCCGACTGCAGCTTAGGTCTGCTCCCTGCTGGCAAGTGGGCATCCCCTGAGGGCTGCTGGGCTGCCAGAGGGATGTCTGATTGCCAGCTTAGGCCCAACCCCCCGGGGAGCAGGCCTAAGCCAGCAAGTGGTCACCCCCGAGGGGTCCCAGACTGTGAGAGGGCACAGGCCGGGCTGAGGAACCTGCTACCCCTGAGTGCACAAATTTTTGTGCACTGGGCCTCTAGTATAATATAATGGGCTAAAGCTAATAAGTTCTTGCATTTATATGTGCTCTCTCACACCTCCATTTTTTCCCTATAGGATAGAGGGGGTTATTGCTTAGTAATATTTCATGCAAGAAAATCTATATGTTGCAAACTCAAGATGAGCCATTATGTGACATAGTTACCCCAGACTGAATAAGCAGACCATGTCCTTAGTGAGTGAAATGATGATCTTCAGTGCTGCTGTGTACATTTAGTCTGTGTCTTGGGCAAGGACACTGAGATGATAAGGGAGTCTTAAAATTGTATGAAGAATTTTATAGGCACCCAGTTTGTTTAGCATAAAGAAAACAAAATTGGACTAGGAAATCATTCCACTTTCCTCTTCCATGTTTGAATGTCTGTCTTGGGAATATCTAGAGTAACCTAGTGGATGGAAGTTACAGGGACAGATTTCATCTGTAGGAAAACAAAAGAGAAGATTTGACGATGGGATAAGCTGCTGTCTATGGGAAAATGCAACCTTCGGTCAGGGTTGTGGGTAGACACTGGGTGGATAGTAGGATGTGGGTTAGGCTGTTTTTGTGTGTGTATGTGTTTTTTCCTCCAACTTTAGAAGTATATTTTAGTGAATTAGCAAAAATAAATTTAGTAAAATATTTAGTCAAAACTGAATCTCCCCCTTTTTTTATATCAGACTTAGATATAATTGCCATAAAATGTAGTCCTGTCTCAAACAAAATTTCGCTTTTGTGGTGATTACAGTAGGTAATATAATTGCCAAAATTACTTACTTCCAATTGGTTCTTCACACTTCATTCAGAGTAATTATTACCACATACTAGTCTCTTCATACCACCTCCCTGCTTAAGACACAGTCACTCTGCATTCATTGTAGGATAAGGGTACCCATTCTTAACATGGCCCACAAAGTCCAGCAAGGTCTACTGCTACCTGCTTCTCCAGTTTTATATTGTATCGCCCTCCATTTCCAGTTCAACCATGTTGGCCTTCTAGTAATTTCTCAAGTGCACACCGTGTTCCCATTTGCCACACATCAGTTGTCATGCTGTTATTTTTCTGCATGGATGGCCTTCTTATTCCTAGATGACGCCTGCTGTCACCCTCCCGGCCTCGGTTCATTTTTAACTTAAGCACGGAAGTGTTTTTAACCTTCCTACTGAGATCTCATGTCCTGTCACACATGCTCATACTCTGTATTTCTCATTCTCAGCATTGACCACTGTTACAGTTTACATTTGATTATGTAACTCTGTGATTCAATATCTGCTTTTCCTGCTAAAATATAAGCATCCGAAGGCAAAAGGCATTTTCTGTTCTTAGTTCACTGTTGAACCCCTGGTGCCTTGCAATATGTGCAAATCACACTAATATGTGCTGAGTGAGTAATGTAAGCGGGACACTTCCTACAAAGTATTGAAGAGAACATTTAGAGAAAGAATGGGATATGGTGACCCTAAGGCGATACATTCATTTTATATAGTGCTTGCATTTTTAAAGACTTTTTTCACAAAAGTCCTAAGAGCTAAGTATATTACATTATATTAACTTTACAGGTAAAGACATTTTATCTTTGTCAACTTTACAGATTAGGGTAGTTAACCAGATCAAGACTCATAGTTATTAAGTGGCAGATTTAAGATAAGAAACCAGGAGTTTGAGATTTTTAGGAAAATAACCAGCCACTTGATATACCCAGGTGTTATACTCATCACTTGCTTCAAATGGCATAGTGTCTTACAATTTTTTTATAGGACTGTCTTAGTTTGGGCTGCTATAACAAAATACCATAGACTGAGTAGCTTACACAACAAACATTAATTTTTCACGGTTCCAGAGGCTGGGGAGTTCAAGATCAAGGTACCAGCAGATTCACTGTCGGGTGAGGGATCTCTTCTTGGCTTGCTTTGTCTTTCCATGGAGAAGAGGGAGGAGAGCTCTGGTCTCTTTCTCCTCTTTAAGGTCACTAATCATAACTTGGATTCTACCTTCATGATTTTATCTAATCCTCACTACCTCCCAAAGGCTCTACCTCCAAATGCCATCGCATTAGGTTTCCACATGTGAATTTTGGGACACAAACATTCCGTCTATAGCAAGAACTAAGCTATGTTTTATTAATATCTATCTAAATCATACTTATAGTTTTAAAAATTACATACGGTATTCTCCATTATATTTTAGAGACCTTGACAGGTAGGATTTTAAATGTGAAAGTAACACTGCCATCTAGTGACAACTAACCTGAATGAAATTTGAAAACTAGACTAGCTGGTTAAGGTCCCAAGGAATGGTGAAGCAAGTTATTCCCATGAGTGGGAAGGGCGCATAAGTTAGGCAGTCATTTCTTTTCAGAAACCATTTGAGGCAGTTTATTCTTAAGGAGTCATGAATGAATAATAAACAAAGCAGATGCCCTGGTTTGTAGAATGTTACCCAGGTAGTAAGCCGGCGATTGTGCCACTTGATTTTGATCTGTCTCCATTTTTCTCACTTTCGCCACAGCTTCTGAATGAGGGAATTTGTACTCTGATAACCTAACAAAGTGTTTTCATCTTAGTTTAAAGAGCTAAGCACATTCAAGAACAAACAGATGAGGAAATGAGTCCTGGGTAAAATTTCTGGTTAGATCTTGCAGCATCTAAAGGAAGAAGTGGAATGCCAAAATAAACTCCATCTATCCCAAGGGGACACTTAGAGCCACTTTGAATTAAATTGCTGAGTGATTTAATGTAAACAACATAATAAAACACTCCAGACACACAAAAATAGTTAGAAAATGAAGTATAAGAATTTTCTTTAATGCATTGAACCACAAAGGAAATTTGGATAACTTATTTGTATCCCTTAAGTCCTAAATTTAATAGATTTTTAACTGATATATTTTAAATGAATTATTGTCCTGCTAAATTAGTATTGTTGGCAAAAATATTATCTAAAATCCTTTGAGCTAAAAATTTTTTATGTACAGAAGCCAGGTCAAAAGAGATAAAAATTATTCTATTTCTCTGGAGACCTAAATAACAAAAACCCATCACTTTCAAAGGATAATGATATTTCTGATTGAGGTGAGAAAATTATATTTAACATTTTTTAAGATAGCCTGTAGAGGATTTTTTACAGAGAGGAAGGGAGAGAGATAGAGAGTTAGAAACATCGATGAGAGAGAAACATCGATCAGCTGCCTCCTGCACATCTCCCACTGGGGATGTGCCCGCAACCCAGGTACATGCCCTTGACCGGAATCGAACCTGGGACCTTCCAGTCCGCAGGCCGACGCTCTATCCACTGAGCCAAACCGGTTTTGGCATATATTTAACATTTTTTAAGATAGTCTGTAGAGGATTATTCTATTTGTCCAGTTACTGGTACATGTAATGAACAGTCTCCCTAAGGTGTTCTGACTTATGGTATAGAAATAGCCTAACTGGAAATATTAAATTTTTTATATAAGTCAATGAAAATTATTGCTTTTCTGACACTACTTATTACCTGGTTTCCCCTTCAGGAATAATATTTCACATACTGACAATAAAGAATGTGTAACGGACTTGCTATTTTGCCAAGAGTTAAGTTGGAAATCTCAGGGCACGAACCATTTTAACATAAGAAAAGCATCTGAGTTGCACTTACTTCTTAGCCAATATCCTTAAAATAGTAATTTTATGCTTATTTCTGGACAAGTGTACAGATATGACCTCGTCTCTTGTTTTCAAGTGATAAACTATTCATATGAAGAATGTGGGTAGTACCAGACAATAGCAGATGACAATCTACCAAGAATTGGATTAAAATTAGTTGCCAAAAAGTATTGCATCAATACCGAAGGGGAACAATTTTTTTTTTGAAAAGTGTAATGTGGTTTTGATTAGCTTTGCATGAGACACAGCTGATCTGGGACCTCTCCTAATTTTGTGTCAGGGTCAAACTCTAGAGTTGTGCTGACGATGAAACCTGAAAGATGGGTAGTTAGTAAGGTGAAGAGCTTACAGGCAGGTGGTGGTGTGGAAGGGGGCTGTGTGGAGGCTCAGAGTGTTCTAGAGAGAGAATGTCAACTGCAATTTTTTAAAAAAAAACACCTCAAATATATATAGAAAACATAAACACAAAGCTTCGTTTGATGTTCTCGGTATCTTATCGATGAACAAAGGATTCAACACTGCGGCAGTGTGGAAGTGAAGAATAGATGGAGGCTCTCTAGGGCTCTGGATACCAGAACAGCATGGTGGGGCGGAACAAGAAATTGACCTTGTGCTGGAAAAATGTTCTCAGGCCAGAATAACAGTAGTATAAATGAGAGGTCTAACTTTTATGGCAGTGCAGAGCAGAAAGAAACCAGTTTCTCTTGGGGTTTTGGTGAGGGAAAAGTGGGAGGTTATTCAACACTTGGCATTTACCACAATCCTTAAAGGGAGCAGGGTGAGGTCTGCAGCATGCTTTCAGTTTACCTGTGTCTTTGGCTGTGTTTTGACCCTGGCTTTCTTTGTTCAGCTAGGATTGTGTCTAAGCAGAGCCTCCGCATCTGTTCTAAACCTCAACTGCAGCCTCATCCTGTTACCCATGTGCCGGACACTCCTTGCTTACCTTCGAGGATCCCAGAAGGTAAGACACATAGAATTCTAGTCACAGATTGCAGCATGCCAATCCAGTGCAACGGCAGCAGGTTAGCCCTGCTTAGTTCTTGTGGTCTGATTTTCTGCTAGAGCGATTGCTTCAAACATGACAGGGAAGACCATGTCCCCTGCCAAGATGATTAGTGAACTATTCCAGAAAACAGCACTAAAGACAGAGGGTCATAGACTATGCTAAGCACTTCACATATATAGCTGTGAAGCCTCACAATGATTCTGTAATCAGATATTGCAGATGCAGAAGCTGAGGCATAGAGGGTTTAAGCAACTTGAAGATCACGAGACCTATGAAAGGCAGAGCTAAGATCAGTCCTACTCCTGAGCTCTTTCCACAGTACTCTGCCTCACCGCGATCCTGTTTTTCATTTAGTTCAGTCCCTGCGAACACACTCAAGCCCTGTGGTTTTTGAGCAATGCATAGAGTGAGTGTTAGTGTTGGTGGCAATTTATCTCTTAAAATACATACCTGTTTTGAGCCACGTAATAGGCTTAGAAAACGTCTTGATTAAGTAGTGGTGTCATGTGTGGATATTTAGTGTTGTAAAATGAAGGATTTGAGAGAACAGAAAAGCACTTTGAAATTCTTTTGTCAAGTATCCTTGTGTGTGTGTGTGTGTGTGTGTGTGTGTGTGTGTGGTGTATGCTGTGCTGTGGTTATTTCTTCTCTAAGATGGTAAGGCACCACTGGATAGATACTGATATTTTAAAAGGAGTTGTTAATGTGAGGTCACTTTGCTGTCCTGTGAACTTTATATGACTGGATTTACTACCGTAAAAATTCTCAACCTTTTCATGTGATTACATTTGGAAACTCTTTGCTTTTACTGTGGCAATTTGTGGAAATAACTCTTGGTTGCCTAATTGTAAAATGCTAGGTTGTGATCTCTGTGGCTGGCCATTGGCTTGGCATGAAGAAGGAGAAGATAAATGGCAGGAGAAGACAAGGGCCCACCTAAGTCCTTCAGTATTTAATGTCTTAAAGAATCGTCCCTGAGTGTGAAACATAGTTATTCAAAGATGCTTGACATTTTATTTTTCTTAAGACCAAACAGGCATTTAAAACCATAAATGGAATTGCTTTATTTAAAAAATAATCTTTCTTTATTTTTACTGCAAAAGGAAATCATATATATATAGTGAAATTCAAAAATTCCAGAAATATCTGAAGTAATCAGTGAAGGTTTCTCCTAGCATTTCTCTGTCAGGACAACTGCTGATTACAATTTGGGGTAAATACCTACGGATATGTTAACATAGAATGCTACTAATTTTAAACAATATAAGATTTTCTGTTTTATAACTCTTGCCTAACAATAAGTCTTGCACATTTCTTCATATCAATAATAAGTCTTCTCACATTCTATTTAATAGTTTGAGTGTTCCCTTGATTAGATATATCATAATTTGTCTCATTGCTTTTTAACTTGATAGGCCTCTGTCATGTTTCTAAAACACTGATATTGTAAAAATGCTGTAGTGAAAAGCTTTGTACACATACGTTATTTACTGCATCATTTTTACAATAGTAAATGGTTGTCCTGTAGGTTCCAAGCAGGAGAACCAGAAGGTTGTTGGATAAAAGCAGAACATTCCATATCATCTGTGGTGTTACCATCTGTATTTTCTCAGGTGAGAAAACCAAAAGCTGTTTAATATTATGTTATAATCATATGTTATAAATGGTATTTTTATTATTCTATAAATTATTTGCTGTCACAAACTCGTGATTTTCTTATACAGCTTAATTTTCTCTTCCATGTTTTTAAAGAGTGTTGTCTATTGGTGCTACAGAAAATACGTGTGTCTTATGCTAAGTTTGACCTCCAAGCTGGTAATGATTGTTTCCTAGAGGTAAATAATTTAATTTAAAAAGATTGAAAGAAGCAAACTGAAAGTTTTTAAGCTCTGAAAGTAAGGATATGATAGGAGTGTAAATGCATCAAAATTGGATTGCAAAATGTACATTCATTGAATACGATATCAGCCAAAATTATAGTTGATAAATATTTCTTTGAAAATGATACTTGCTTAGAGGAGCATATTTCAAAAGTTTGTGGAAATTCATCCTGCTCAATTCCAAGTTAAAATATAAAGTGAGAATCTTTTGATTTTTAAGAATCATTTTAAAATAAATTTTTATCCTGAGTATTTCTATAATGCTTTAAAATATTTTGGAGCAGAAAGTAATAAATATATGATTTAGTGCATAGACTCTGGAGATGGATTATGTAGGTTTTATCCCCAGCTGCCCTTCTGCCTGGAGAACATGCATATATGAAGTTCTTAGGGAAGAATTTGTTATAATAGTTTACAGTCTGAGGGATTAATTATCTCAGCGGCATAGCTCCTTACATTTTCATCTGGTTGTTATTTGTAGAATAGAGCTATTTTGGTGCTAGGGACCTTTGGTCTGGATAGTTATGTAAGGCCATTTTGAACCAGGAGTCTTTGGATACAGCTATAACCAAGATATATTAAACTTTAAGCTTTTAAATTATTACCAAGCATTTCTTTACTTTCTCATTCCTGAACATCTATCTTTCCATTGGTAGTTGCCCCCTTTGGTGGTGAGAGATGGGGAGAGGCTTAGGGATGGGATTAGAACTCCCTTGCAGCCGAGTCGGGATGGAGTACGGATCAGGAAGAGATGAGGGCCGAGGGTGTGATAAGGGTTAGGGATGGATTAGAGCTAGGGAGGGGGATCATGAAACACTGGCACATTCATAGCTTCATTTATTCTTTGGTTCAGTTGCAGAATAACCACAACTGAGTTGGTGTAGTGTATTGCCATGAATGAGCATGTTTTCCAGGGGGTCTACATTCTGCCCCTGGCTAGTGGTCTGACCTTAGCTAAATTACCTTTCTAACCTTTGTTTTCTTATCTGTAAAACAGGGATGATTCTACTTACCTCACTGTTTTATTGTTAAAATTACATGGAAAATCTATACAAAGTGCCTGGCATAGCTTTCTCCCTGCTTACTAAAATCAGAAGCTCTGAATTCTTTTGACCTAAAAGGCCTTATAAAGAAGGTGAATGTATCTCATACAGCTACCGCCTAGAACAGTGATGGCGAACCTATGACACGCGTGTCAGAGGTGACACGCGAACTCATTTTTTTGGTTGATTTTTCTTTGTTAAATGGCATTTAAATATATAAAATAAATATCAAAAATATAAATCTTTGTTTTACTATGGTTGCAAATATCAAAAAATTTCTATATGTGACACGGCACCAGAATTAAGTTAGGGTTTTTCAAAATTTGACACGCTGAGCTCAAAAGGTTCACCATCACTGACCTAGAACTTTTACTCAGGAGAATTCAGAAAGAATGGCTATTCCGCTGAAACCGGTTTGGCTCAGTGGATAGAGCGTCGGCCTGCGGACTGAGGGGTCCCGGGTTCGATTCCGGTCAAGGGCATGTGCCTGGGTTGCGGGCACATCCCCAGTGGGAGATGTGCAGGAGGCAGCTGATCGATGTTTCTCTCTCATCGATGTTTCTAACTCTCTATTCTCTCCCTTCCTCTCTGTAAAAATCAATAAATATATTTAAAAAAAAAATTGACACAAGGCATTTACTGTCTTTAAAAAAAAAAAAAAAGAATGGCTATTCCTCAAAGGAAGCCTTTATGCTTTTGACAAGTAAGTATGTAGTTAACATATAAGTCTTTAATTTTAAATAAAGGGAATTTTTTTTACTATTAATATCTGAAGTGGTGAAGCTGTAGGAGATAGTTTTGCTTAAATAATGTTTTATACCTTTGCCAAAGTTGAGTCTCACTTAAATGTTCTTTGTTTTATTTCTTTGAAACCTAGCCATTGCTTGTTAATTAATCCGCTTCTAGTTCCCTGGTCACTTTTTTTTTGTTGTTGTTAATCCTCCCTCGAGGATATTTTTCCATTGATTTTCAGAGAGAGTGGAAGGGAGGGGGAAAGACATACAGAGAGAAACATCAATATGAGAGAGATGCATCAATTGGTTGCCTCCCACATGTGCCCCGACTGGGCTGGGGATCGAGCCTGCAACCTAGGCATGTGCCGTGACTGGAATTGAACCTGGGACCCTTAAGTCCACAGCCAAACACTTTATCCACTGAGGTAGGGCCAGACTGGCTAGGGCCCTGGTAAACTTTTTATGAGACCCTCTTCTCTTCTCTAACTTGATCACTGGCAGGAGCTTATAAATCCTTTAAATAATTTTTAGGTTATTCAGTATTCTAGTCCTCTCTCATTTTGATTGTCTTTGTGAGTAACTCAGAGCTCTTGGCCTATCTATATCTCAAACGTTAGGTTTGAGGGAATTGTAGAGTTTTGTACTTTCTAGGCCATGTCTTATTTTGAATCACTGCCTCCATGTATTTATGTAAACTATAATGGTTTACTAAGCAATTTTGAGTCACTTATTAGGTCTCTTATTTCTGTCATTTTTTAAAACATTCCTCCTCCAAGGTTATGTTTTTATTAATTTTTAGAGAGAGAAGAAGGGAGAGAGAGAGAGAAACATTGATGGGAGAAACATAGATTAGTTGCCTCCTGTTACGCCCCCAACATGGGGTCAAACCCACAACCTAGGTAGGTGCCTGCTTGAGATTCAAACCTGCAACCTTCTGGTTTACAGGATGACACTCCAACCGACTGAGCCACCAGCCAGAGCAGTAATTCTGTCATTTTATAGAGAAGTAATTCGAGGTGCTCGTATGCCAATACAATAGCCAGGAAGACAGGTTCCCAACTAAATAGCTGTTGTTCTTTATGATGTACTGTTAATTAAAGCCACATTTCACCTGTAAGAAAAGGTTAGAAAGGGAGGAGGGCATTAGAGTCGTCCAATGCACAAGTCACTTACTCCTTCCTTGTCCAACCTCCTCAATATAATTTTCTTTTTTCCCTGGCATGCCAAAATGAATTTGTTTTCACCTCAATTTCCTAACACTTTTATATTTTGTGTGAGCTCCAAGTCAGTTGAGCACTCTGTTTATTGTGCCACTGCAGACTGATTATTCAATGGCAATACTCTACTCTATCTCTGTCTTGTGGTTGTTCTCCAACTGAGGGGAAGGGAAGGGGAGAGAAAGACAGAAACATCAATGATGAGAGAGAATCATTGATCGGCTGCCTCCTGCACTGTGGGATACTCCACACTGAGGATCGAGCCCGCAACCAGAGCACGTGCCCTGACGGGGAATCCAACCGTGACCTCCTGGTTCCTAGGTTGACACTCAACCACTGAGCCACGCTGGCTGGGCATTACCAAACACTTTTGCTACCAAA